AATTGTTTTCTAATTGTAATAATAGTAACTTTATAAATAGGCTGATTTTCCTTACTGAGGAACAACAATCAAGAATCTGTTATTGAAGTTCATAGTGACAAAATACTGTAAGATTCATGCATAAATGTGTGAATGAATATGCACGTGTGTGTAGATATAGAGAATGAAATGGTTTAGTATGAATGTTCAGAGTACTGTAAATTGGCCGTTGTTCCTATATCTAGTTGTTTTAATTAAGAAGCCTTAATTTAAAAAAAAAAACACTGATATACAGTGGATTACTTCCTTTTTAATATATATTTTAAAAGATTGACTTATTTATGCATATAGAACGGGGGTGCAGGTCAGAGGTGCAGAGGCAGTGAGAGGATTCACCAGAGACAGAGTGTGGAGCAGAACAGGCAGATTGATGAAGTACACTGCTGAGGGGAGCAGTGGGTGGATCAGGAGGGTCTGCCACACCATGTGGGTCACCTCCGGGGCAGGCATCAAACTCTCACTGAAGCGACTGTGGCTTGCTTGCAGTGCTGAGCTTTATTTAGCCTGCTGCCCCACCAGGGAGGGCCCTTTTTAATATTTTTAATAATCAGGTTTTAAAAGGGAGCATTTCTAAGAACAATAATTAAACATCTTTTTTTCCTCTGTTTCTTTATAGGTATTACAACATCTATAAATGACTTTGGGATATGGCTTTATTATTCAGCAACTGAAAGATGAGTTCTAATTCGCAGACTTTCTGGCACTAGCACTCGTAATGTTACAGAAACTGGAAAATCAACTACACAAAGGAAAGGGTAAGTTTCTTTTAAATTCCATATTTATATACACATTTTATTAACTGGCATGATGTAATTTTTCACATAAGGCTATCAGTGAATTGGATCACAAATATGAACTGGTAGTTTTTACTTAAGTGGTAACTGACATAAATCATTAAATGGAGGGTTTAAATACGGGTTTATTGTTCTTGTGATTCTGATTTCACATTTCTTGAAGTATGAACTTGTATTATTTCTTTCAGTTATTTCTAATACGGAGATCACAAAATTGATTTTTATCCTTTTAGATTTTACTTTGTCATACTTTTCTGGTAAGTGAACTTGGGGTATAAAATATATACAGAAGACATTTTAAACTTGTGCGTAAGTTATAAGTCTTCTTGAGAGCAAAGCTTGATTCTCTCCATTATAAAACAAGTACTGTGCTACTGACTAGTTTTGCAGCCTCTTCCTTTTGGCCAACCAGGATAAGGTCCGTTGGGCACATACATTTGTTCTCATACAGGCAGACACCTATTGCTTGCAGAACCTAAGGCTCCAGCCAGTTGGTGAGTCATTTTATTGCTCTGTTCAGAGGGCTCTGATGCATGACTGGCATACTTAAAATTGAAACTGTTTAATCAGATATGATAAACTCCGATCTACAGGTTAGTGTATATAAAGAATTTATAATAGGCATTATCTAGCTTTGAGATATTGGAGGATGACAGTGTTAACTCTTGATCTTTTAACGTTACTTTTCTTTTTTTCTCGGTCCCGAAATAATAATACTAAGGAATAGATGTCTCTTCCCCATTTAAGGCATGTCAGTGTTAGTTGATATCAAATGAAGAATTGGGTATCTTGGCATTATTTCATCTAACATCATCAGTTTTGTAAAAATAGTATATATATATAAGTGAAATTTGGAAGCTTTTCAACCAGAGGAAGTGAATCTAGTTTTTAAAATTTCATATCACAGGTCAGTTAATGCCTACAAGTGGATTCTCATAAAAAATGTATGTCTCCCTTGCTTAACTATGAATGTGTAACCTTTCAGTTTCTATTTGCTTACTGGAACTGTAATGAGGTAAAAATAGAATTGAATTTGATTTTGGGAAAGTGAGTTAAGTAAGAACATAGATGATAACTAAAAAGTACTGGGCTTTGGTTTTATACGGAGTCTTCAGAGAAACTGCTTGCTGTCCAAGTTTTTCAGTCTCTCTTTCTTAAAAATTATTAAAATCAAATATTAATTTCTCATGGAAAAAGGTGATTTTACAGTTAGACAACTTTGTTAACTAAGCTGCTATTTTTTTTAAACATAGTACCGCATGTGTAAGTATACCTAGATTGTTTGAAAAATATCACAAAATATTTCAGTCCATTTAAATATAAATTTTAAGCTACCAAACCATTCAAGGAGAAAAGCCAGGTAGATGATCTAATCAACACTTGTAGGTTTCAGAATTGACTCTGGTGAGGGCTGTCTAACTTTAGGCAAATAGCTGGGTCTTAATTATACTAGGAATAATAATGATCCAAATTCCTCATATGACTGACAGTATGATAATGAGGTAGTAGGTGGAAAAGAACATCAAAAAGTTAAAAACACCTACTATAAAGTAGTGTTTTAGTATTAGAAATAGTATTTGATGGTCAGCATATGTAGAAATTGCCTTTTACAGTGATATGGCATTCTTTCAGAATTAGCAGCAAGAAATATTATCTTAACAGTTTTACCTATAACTCTATATAGCTGGGGAGAAAGTATACTTTTACATTCAAATTATGAGCGCTACTAAATTTTATATATTCTTAACATTTATAAATTTTTCAACTAGTTTTCCTTTCAGTGTTCAGGAATTTTAAATGGTCTGGGTGCTTAGGCATTACTTTATTTGGTCAGGTTCAGTGAATATTAGAACACCTTAAAGAATCATTTCTCTTAAGAAACAAAATGGGTATACCATTTTGCTTTTCTTAAAACCTTGCATGTATCCTGGATAGTATTTCTAGATTATGAGTTCCTAGATTTCTTTATGTCTTTTAAAAGTAGTAAGTGAATAGGAACAGCATAAGGTAATTGTTAATACAGTGCCTAGTTATCTATAGTCATCTGTGACTGTAGCTTCTTGGAGTCTCAGGGTTTAATTTCTTATTTCACACCCGTAGGTAGAGGAGAGGCTATTCTGTTGAGAATTACATAAGATCTGTTACTTCAGATTACTTAAAGCTTATCTAAGTCAGAATTGAGTTGGACTTACTTTTACATAAAATGTACATTTTGCAGTTGTAAGAGGAAATTTCATGAGGCCATATAACAAGGGGCAGAACTGGAATTTATTATTAACTTGATGTTCGTGAGTGGAATAGTGGTGGTGTTTTTTATATCTAAAATATAAAAAGATATGTTAAACACATTGAAAAGTAAAACTTCTGTACACTAAATTGAACACACTACCATTTTTAAGATAATCAAGATTTGAACCCAGGTTAATTTGGTTCCATACTATATACTGGGCCTTGGGGAATATAAAGGTAAATAAAACATCCATTGGGTTATCTTGCAGACTAATAGAAAAGATTGACATGGGAGCTCATAGAGGACTTTGTTAAAAGTCAGATGTATTTCCAATTGAGAGAGTGACTTAATGCTAGGAAAGGTTTTCAAGGAGTCTGATTGTGAGGGATGAGTGAGAGTGTGCCCGATGGGGAAGGAACGAGCTCACAGTAGAACTAAAACAAAAGCACACACAAAGGGAGTGAGAGGGATGGCAGCATGGAGCTAAAAACCGGGCTTTCACTTTACTGGTTTCCCCATAAGGAAACAAAAAACAGAAGATATTTTAAGACAGAGATGGAAGGATGTGGTAATAACACACATTGTGTTTTTTTTTATAATTTTTTTTAATAATATAACAGTTTATTTTTACATCATTTTGTACTTTTTTTTTTTTTTTATCTCAATTGTAATCCTGTGGGTTTCCCATCAACACATGTTATGTTTTAAAGAAGCATACGGAAGGAGATTCTAAGCAGTTTGGTGTAGCAGGGAATTCTTTTTCTCCCTTAAAACACGCAAGTACTGGCCCTCCCTGGTGGCGCAGCGGGTTAAAGCACTGCACTGAGAAGCTAAAGCCACTTCCGCATGGGTTCGATCCCACCTGCCCCGGAGGTGACCACATGGTGTGGCAGACCTCTCCTGGCCCGCCTTCTGCTCCCCTCAGCAGTGTACTTTGATCATCTGCCTGTTCTGTTCCCCACTCTGTCTCTGGTGAATCCTCTCACCCTCCACATCTCTGGTCTGTACCCCAGTTCTGTATGAATAAATAAATAAATCTTTAAAAAAAAAATCACCCAAGTACTAAAGACCTCTCTATTCACGTGTAAATGCTATTCCAAGTGACATTTAGTTAGCATAATCATCCCATATTTAGGAAACATCTTCTAGTTTAAGTATTAAAGGCTCATTAAATAAGAGCCCATTAAAAAACTACCTATTCAACTTTTATATAAACATTAGTTCCAAAGACATGTAGATATTTAGCTTGAATATTTTAGATAATTAGATGTGGTAAAAAAGTAATATTGTTTGGGTGGGCAGAATACTATATAGTTTTCTTTTCAACAGTTCTTTTTTCAAATTTCATAACAGTGCATGTTTAGCATAGAAATTTTTTTTAAAGATTTATTTATTTGTACACACAGAACTGGGGTACAGGCCAGAGGCTCAGGGGTGGCGAGAAGCTTCACCAGAGACAGAGTGGGGAGCAGAACAGGCAGATCGACGAAGTACACTGCTGAGGGGAGCAGCGGGCGGGTCAGGAGAGGTCTGCCACGCCATATGGTCACCTCTGGGGCAGGCGGGAATCGAACTCATGGGGAAGTGGCTTTAGCTTCTCAGTGCTGTGCTTTAACCTGCTGCGTCACCAGGGAGGGCCTAGCATAGAAATTTTAAGTAATAAAATAATGAAAACAAAGACTACCTCTGATCAGTAACCAAAGACAGTCCTCTGTGGCAATGTCAGTCAAGCCTGCCAATCACTGATAGTGTCATCTGTAGTCCTTCAGGTGCAGAGTCCTGGGCAGCCAACAGGCTTTATCTAGTACTGCTTTAAATTAAGTTTTCCATCTTCAAGTATGTTAGTGACTGAATTACCATGGCACAATTGAGTGTTTAGTTAAATATATTATTTTAATGTACATTCTGATTTTCTTTTAATATCTGAGGTAGCTGCTTCAGCTGATGAAAATTTTAGCCTGTTTGATTGAATATTAATGCAAAACTTAGTTGAAGTTGCTACTGCCCTTTTCTTACTCTCAATTAGGCATTCCTGGAAGCCTTAAAGGCTGTCTGGTTCATCTTATTTTACAAAAGAGGAGACTTCTTTAAGTTTTTGTTTTCAGTGACATTACTTTAGATTTTCTTCTGTTACACTTGATTGAAGTTCTCTCTGCTTCTGGTTAAACTGTTTTTCCATTTCTCAGCTAGTGGTACAAAGAAAAAGGAAACTGAAGAGAGGAGATAGCATGTACCAGCGAAGTAGAAGGAGCCGGTGTATGTCTGGGTATAGTCATACAAACAACCTGGAAGGAAGGGATGATTTCTGTTAGTGAAGAAAATCAGCCATGGACCTGCTCCTTGAAGGAAGGTTCCTGTACTTAACATTCTGTATTGTTACCCATCAGAAAGTTAGTCAAATGGTTTTCGGTCTTATTTTCTATTGATGAGGTTTAATCAATAATTATGCCTGAGTAGGAAATCGAAGCTGAGGGGACCCAAAACTTATTCTAACCTTTAATGGAAGTTGGAGAAAATTAGGGACACAGCCATTTCATGATGATCCTTTACAAAGACCACTTTTATTTTTGTTAATATCATGAACTGCTACTATAGTAAGTCCTCACTCAACATTGTCAGTAGGTTACTAGAAACTTGACGTCAAGTGAAACATAAACATAGCCAATTTTCCCACAGGCTAACCGATAGAAACAAGAGTTAAGTTCCTATAGCATGTCATTCTATTAATTTGTTCATTTATTTTCTATTGTGCTTGTTGCAGTTTAGGGTTTTGGGTGATAGAGCCTTTCTCGACAGCTCAGGACCCAACACTGGACAGGATACCCTTCTGTCACCAGGCATACTCCCACACAGGCTCAAGGACAGTTTAGAAACAGTAGTGAACCTAACGGCCCTCGCAGACCTGGGGAGAACACACAGCCACAGACAGTGGCCCCAGACCCAGACGGAAATTGGGTTTTTTCCTCAACAGCATTATAATTCGAGGACCTGCTGTATTTTCTAGAGAAAAAACAGTGAGAAAGTTGATCACTACCCTTTTTCCTGCACTAAATACTTGAGTAACTTGATATGTTCCTAGCAATGTGCTAAGTTTTGAGGATATAATAATGAGCCAAGACAGACATGACCCTTGCAGACCTCACAGCTGAGCATGGAAATAGGAGGTTTTAGAAGTGTAAAATTACTCATGTGTTACTATGAAGGGACTGTTTTAGGAGGGTTCAATAGCATGTGAGAAGGAACTGACAACTTGGTCAAGTGGGCTACACAAGAACTGTTACACCCTTATAATCAAAATGCTTTTTTAGAGCAAGAATGGGGCAGTAGCCTGGAGTGCTTCCCTTGGCCTTCCTTCGCTCTTGCAGCACCTGTGGTTTTGCAGGTGCTCATCACTGACCTGCCTTGTCCACGGGCAGAGGCAGTCCTTCCTTCCAAGGCTGCCTGCCTGTGACTGTGCCCGTCTCTCTCTTAGGAAAGCTGTCTCTTTTGGGGCAACTCCTTCTTGCTGTGACTGTGCAAGTATCCTTTACTCTTCTCACCCTTTTAAATAATAAACCTATCCTTTTGGATATAAAAAAAAGAAAGAAAAAATAAAGCGAGAATGGGAGGGTCCTCAAAATGATTTGGTTAATGACACGTACAAGAATTTAAGTGAAATGTGCTTCTTAAAAACTGGGGCAAAAATATTTATGCAAGGTACCAGCAATTAAGCATTATTGCAAAGTCAACCCTTGAAACAACAAGTAGAGTCTCAATATATTTATGAAAAGAGTTTGATCTTACAAGCTTTCTGAAAAGTTCTCAGGATCTTGGAGTACCAACTGACCACACTCAGAGAACCTCTGTTCTAGAGTATTGTATGCATGTTACGTTTGTAGTTACAGATCACACAATGGCTTTTCCACATTTCTATGTTCAAAGTCAGTTAGAAACTCTTTAAAAGTTTGGGCTATTATTCTAATCATTTATTTTGGAAATTTTGGTGCTCTATGCCAGCACAGATCTGGTTACTACTTCCTCCTGAAGCTTACATTGTATCTTTTGATTTTGTTTTCTGTCTCAGAGCATGATTTCCCGGGAATGTGTTGAATATCCCTTTTGCTTCCTGTCTGATTGTATATGTCATTGTCTCCTATCCTTTTTTTCTAATAGTCTTTAAAACTATTTGCCTATTTCATTAGCTTTATGTTCCCTTAATGTAATGAATGAATAGAACGTTTTATAGCCCCTTAAAACTCAGCTAACTTTAAGTTGCTTTTTACTCATTGACACGTTGTTTGATCAGTGACCTCAATTAAGTGTTTATTGGAGTTGAATAAAAATGAAACCAGTTAGGACAAGTCATAATGTTGATTGTGATTGACCTTCTGATATAGAGAAATAGGTCATCAGTCTCTCAACTCAACTAGAAATTTCTGGGAAGGAGTGTGGAAACCCTTGTTCTTGCCTTAGACCCATCAATTTAGCAGATTTACTAGTAAATACACAATCTGTCAATGTTAAGCCATAGGTATTAGAAGTAGCACTGTGAGAAAGGACCAGGAACTCTTAGACAAAAGGGTCTATGGTGCTGCTGAAGGGTAAGAAGGGCATAGCTAAAAATAATGAAAATGGGTTTTTGTTTCAAATCCCTGCACGACTAAAATAGTGTAAGAGAAAACTGCGTTTAAGTCATTTTACAAATAAACACTTTGAAGTTCAGGATGCCGTTTTTAAAACATTAAAGATTAAAATACATTTGATATACTTTTTTTCAGCAGGACAGTATCATGTAGCATATTCTAGAACTATATCCATGTGTTTCTGTGCAAAATGTAGAGAAATCTGTTTCTCCCATTCATACTTGATTATGAGATGAGTTTTTTTTTTAATTCTCTAAGGTCCACTTGCCATTCAATAGGATAATAATGTACAGTTGAACACTTAGTGTTAGCATACTATTTACAGTGGCAAATAAGAGGTGAAAGGTACATGGTTACAGGGCTGTTACTGTATTATTCATGGATTGCTTTCTGAAAGTATTAGATTAGCTTAGATTTAATAGCTACTAGGCAAGTTAAAATCAGTTTCATTGGTATTGAGCTCTACATTTTTTACAACTTCAGAAAAAGGTATATACAATAGTACTTTTAGCCCTTAACAGTTTAATCCCAATATGGTTTTTTGTTTTAAATATATTCTTTAAAGAAATTTTTTTTGGTTGTTAAGAACTATATACTCCAGCCATTTTAAGTGGAAACACAACACAAGTTGACATTCAGATGACATTTTTGTGGATATAACAAAAGCATTGTGAGTGGCAGAGAAAACCTGATTGTGTAATAGCCACAACCCCAGAAAGCAGGCGTCTGAATGTCCACTTCATGCTGAGTGTCACTATCTGTAGCCAGTGTTATGGGGGGCACACTGGCAGCTAATACAGACTGCTAAGCTCAAGTTCTCTGGAAGCTTCCTCAGTTTCTCCACACTGCCTGCTTTAGATGTACTTGGGACACATTAGTCATGCAGATTCTTTGATTCCCTCAAGCATACTTCATACTTGTTTTTTGATTCTTATATACAATTAAATCATTGTCTACATTACTTACTTACACCTTTGTCTTGTTTGGGGCAGGCATGTCTAATGGTACCGTGAAGTTAGGGCTCAGCATCCTTAAAACAATTTGCAAACCAGTTTTCTCATACTCAACAAAAAATGATGATGGAATAATCTTTCAAGTTTGATGTTTATGGAGTTATAAATTCAGTTTTTTAATGTCAGGGTGTTTAAGCGGTTCTGTTATGTTATGTCATACATGTTTGAAAGTTAGTTTAATATCCTGTCTAAAAAGCATGCCGTACTTCTGTTATCTCAGAATTTGACTTGAGCTGAGTTATGAATCTTCTTTTAAGATTAGTACTGTAAGTTAAAGTTGGAAACACAACTCTAAGACACTGAATTCCTTAGTGTTTGAGAATCCTGTAAGTGACTTGGCCTGTGGTGAGCCAGAAATGCCACCTGTTGGCTTGCAGTGTAGGGGCAGATGTCCAGGGTGCACAGAAAGGATGTCTTCTCTGGCGCTAGAACCACAGACTTCTTATTAGCAGCCCTGCCATTTTACTGTGGATGGCTGTACAAATGTTTCCTATATGTGCCATGATGGAACATTTGGGGAGACTTGGTTAAGCAAATTTAAACCTCAGGCTTTTTTAAGATAGGAACTCTCTAGTGATAAGATTTACTGGAGTGCTTTCAGTATTGGCTCTGTTGTGTTTTATTAAAGGATTGTCATTTGTATTATGATTTTAAAGTCTAAATCTCTGGCCTTGCAAAGGAATATACTTGGAAAGGAACGACTACCTTCATTCCCCTTTTTAAACTTAAGTGGAGAGCTATTTGAGATTTATTTTTACTTATTTATTTTTTTTTTAAAGACATATATTTGTCATAAAGAACTGGGTACATGGCCAGAGGTGCAGGGGCGGTGAGAGGATTCACCAGAGACAGAGTGGGGAGCAGAACAGGTAGAGCAACGAAGAACACTGCTGAGGGGAGCAGCGGGCGGGTCAGGAGAGGTCTGCCATGCCTTGTGGTCACCTCCAGGCTCTCCTGCGGGCTCACCTCTGGGGCAGGTGGGGTTTGAACTCATGCTGAAGTGGCTTTAGCTTCTTAGTGTTGTGCTTTAACCTGCTGTGCCACCAGGGAGGGCCAGAGATTTATTTTTGATATTTTTATAGGTATTTGTCAATAGTAGGAATACTTTATCAAATTAAAATTAAAATTCTGTGGGTCTTTGTTTATGGGGAAAATAACCAGTGGATAACAAAATAATTTAGTTATTTTTCCTTTGCCTCTTCAGGGTATAATACATTCCTCAGGAGTTAGAGGCTAGAAATCTTTGCTGTCCCCTCTCACTTGCCCTCCAGTTATCCCTGACCTCCAAAATGGATCTATAGCAGATTAAGAGGCTGAGTTTTGTTTTCCAAATAGAATGTTCACCTTAAGAGAATTTCTTAAGGTCCAGCACCTTAACTTTAAGCAACTTAATAGCCCTGCACTTTGTTAGTTGCTAAGCAGGATGCAGAGAAACATAAGTTACTCTCCCAGTGATTTTCTACAGCTTAGTGAGTTCATGGTACTGCACTCACTCTGCCACAGACATGGCAGGACTAACTGCTAACATAATACAGGCAGGCTGAAACCATAGAGGGCATGGTTGGCAAAACTAGACTAGAACAGAGACAGGAAATGACAGAGCACTTCATGTTAATGGGACAGAGAATTTCCCATTAGAAATTAGATGAATTTCCCTTTTAGTCACTGACTTTTCTTGTAAAACACAGGTAAAGAGTAGAGAATCAGTGCAAAATTGACAAATTTTTCTCCATGGCATTTCTGATGAATATGGGATTGACAGATACGAACAAGAGAGAATGTATTTCTAGAGGAACTAGTTAACTTTAACTTATTTTGGAGTATAATAGACTTAAAATACACTTTTGTGAAATATTTGCTATATTGAATAAAGCTTCAATTTTTTTTACTTTAAAATAATATAATAGCTTATTTTTACATCATTTTGTGGAGCTTCAATACATTTTAAGATCATTTTTATGTCACAGTTAAGAATGTCTTCATTTAAAGGTAGGAAACATGGGTTATAGTGTCTGACCAGATTTTTAGGGATGATGTAGAAGAATGCAAATTTGAATTCTCATTTCTGGTGGTTCTATGCTATTGTTATTCCTGAAGTGTATGTGGCAAAGTGAGTGCTATATCATGAACCAGTAAGCTGTAGAAAATCAGAGTGTAACTTTTGTTTTTCTGCATCCTGCTTAGCAGCTAACAGTGCATTGCTATTAAGGAGCTTGATACTTACTGAATGAGTACTGAAGTATAAACTAGTACTTATTTCATGTTTCAAGAGTTTTCAAAAACTTTCTCGTTGATGTAAATATGTATGATAGCATAATGCGCATTTTTCAGAAGGGAGTAGGTGCAATATATAGAGGAGAAACGGGAGCTCTCTCCATTTTACTTTTGTAGGCAGCTGTATGGCCCCTTCAAGGGCTGTACTTTAAGTGAAACTGAACCTTTAGCATTTTGAGCTAGCACATCAAATGCAAGTTTGGGAATTTCACATAAGTATGCTTCATCTGATTTGTATCTCAGAGAATATGCTAAGATACATGCCCACCCCCTGTACTATTTTGGATTGCCTTCTAGAAGTTTACTTTTGTGATGTAAAAAAGGTTTTAAAATAACAAAACTTTTGTATTTCTGTGACTTTCTAAGTCTTCCTTCTTAATGGCTGCATGTAGTTATGAATGCTTCTATTAACGCATTGGATGAGTGATGACATTTGGCCAACTATTAGGTCAGGTAACCTAGCACAACCCTAAACCAACCTAATCTGAAGCAGGGCATATTAATTGCTAAAACTGAATTTGTCACAGCATTGGGAAGGCATAGGACGGATGGTGTGGGCCAGGCCAGTGACCTATGGGAGTGGTGGTAGATGGGGGAGGGATTGCATAATTGTTAACTTTGAATTAACATAACTGTCCATTTGAATTTCTCTTGAGTAGTTTCAGCAAAGATCTAATAAAGAATTTTGTTGCTGCTGTATTTCTTGTATTTACAGCTGGAAGGGGCATTTAAGTAATTCTTTTGTATGCGCTATTTACATTTTTTTTTTAAAGAGGTACTTTTCAAAAACTTAAGTTACCTGATTCCTAAGGGTTTCCTCTGCCCCCCTTTTTTTTCTCTTCGTTTACTAAAACACATGTATAAGGCTAACTTGTTTTTCTTTTTCATTTCCATGCAGGAAGGAGAAAAATATTGCTCATGTAATTGATGTTACGATTTTTAATGAGTGTTTTCACTGAGGATTATTGTGAAAAGTTTCAATGGTTGCTGGATTCCTAATTTAAAATGACTATAATCTTTTATAGGAATATCACCTCTTGGAATTGGTAATAACAGATGTAGGTAAGTAAAAACTGAGAATCTCATGATTCTGAAGATCTAAGTTTGGTTGGGAGTTCACTGTTTTATAACCAGTAATCCTTTTTAATTAAAGCTTAAGGTAATATAACTGTTGAGAACTGAGTGAATCTGTAAACCAACATTCTGAGGTTTTTTTGGTAGTTGCTGTGGGAGTCATCTTAGGAGCAACTCTAGTGGCCTTTGAAAAATCTTCTGTCTTTTCATACAGGAGCAAGGACTTTTCTAAGTTTCTCCTTTCAGCAAAATGTTTAGCTTAATCTTGTAGTCAATGGAAGATCAGGATGTAGAGATTGAAGTGTAATTGAACTTTGTATTGTCATAATCTTGTTTCAAATATTATGACTTCCATACTAACTATGCATAAACTTTTCAGCAATTAGCTTTACCACTTTCCTGGCTTTTTTGTAAAATCACTAAATTTATGATTGCCTAAATAATTTCCACACTTAGAGCGTAAAAATGGATTATGAACTCTGTCTATTTTGAGATATGATACTCTCTAGCCAGTGTATGATAACCTCTGGAAAAGAAAAGGTTTGTTAATTTTTTTTTAACTCATTGACAGGAAAATGAATGTATTTGATATCACATATATTTATATTACATGGGGGGTGTGTATGAAGTAAAACTTTCACAATAACGTGGTGCACTCTTTTTTGATTTGCTCCATTGTAGTTCTATCCTCTTTTCATTAAAAAAATTATTAAGAAAGCTCATGACCCAACAGAGTTCATGACACACACATTGCATTTTGCTTTCAAATAATGGTCCTCATAAAATTTGCCCTGTCTTCTCTTACTGAACTCTTTAAACATCTTGAGTTATATACAAAACCATATAGACCAGACCCTCCCTCATTATGTTGTAGTTTTGTTTTTTCCCTTCATCATTTGAGTAAGGTATTCTGTGTCTTATTACATCCCTACGCTTTTGCCTAATCAGTTTGAGGAGTTCTGAAGCACCATTGGGTCTGCCAGTGAACTAGGATCAAGAGTGAAAAACAGTTTCAGCAAACTGTATTTGAGCTCTCTTTTCTGCACCTCTAGAATGGAGCACTGGCCATAGAGGGTCTTTGCTAGGGCACCTCTGGTATTTTCTCTCCTTGTACCAATTCCTGTATAACAATTCGGGGCTTGGCTTTTTTATATATGAAGTATAGGCTGAGTTAGAGCAGGGCAAAGTTGTATTTGTAAGTATAAATAGGGAGTTGGTTGTATATTTTTATAAGTTTTTCCTTTTCCGAGTGTTAGATTTATAGAGGTGCAAACCTAACATCAGTATAAAACTTAATTTTTAAAAAATGGTAATGAAGTAAGATCAGATTCTTTACCTTTCTCACTTCAGGACTAAAAAAAAAAATACAGGAATTTTAGGCTGAATTCCTTTTTTGTGGATGATTGGAAGTGCTGTGTTAATCTTCTAATGGCCTTTTATTCAGCAAATCCATGATGTACAGTTAAGTAAAAAGGGAATGGAACACGGTGCTTGAACTTTAAAGCTAACTTAATCAGAACTCCCCCAGTTTCTACTGTACTTGGTTTTAATGTTTGCCTAATGTTTGCCTGTGGTCCCAGATACATCTTCACAGCCCTGTGTCTTCCTACCTTTAATAGAACAGATGGATTATGAAGGGCCTCCCTCCTTGTTTGAAAATAATATAACAGGACAGATAAGGCTCGCCCTGTGTGGCACATCTGGAGAGCAAACTGGTCAGGCTTGCTGCTTTCAAGGTCTGTAAAAGTGATTCCTATTTAGATGAAAAATGGTGGTAGTTCTTTTTTAGAATATTTGAGCTCTTTGAGAATATAGTAAAACTCTGAATGGTCTGTCCAAGCAACCAGACATTCCTGCAATCCTTGCTCTAAGACTTAAAAGAGAATATAAGAATATGCTGAGGGGCCTCCATGGTGGCACACGGGGTTAAGTCTCAGCACTGTGAAGCTGTGCGCAACCATCTATTAACCCCCAGATGATCTCCTAGATTGGTGATGGAGTCTGAGAGTTGGTACAGGGTCAACATAGATATATCATTGGTTTCTTGTACCCTGATATTACTGTCATTGCATGTTACCATTCCTTGGATCATTGGTTTCTTTCATTGCTATTGAGTATTACTGATAATGTGGCTAAGCTGTTACCTGCGATAGGTGGTCCAGAAAGCACAGCCATCCCAGCAAAAAATCCTGCAAGTCCTAAAAACCTGTGTAGTTTGGAATTGCCAGACAGATCAACCTGTAGGGATTAGAATTCAGTGTTAGCCATATTGTGGTTGAAATTCTTTAGAGACCTGTGGCCACAAAGGGACAAATACTGTCTCAAGAGTTCTGAGGTAATTTGAGTGGTCTCTTGCCCTGATAACTGTGAAAGAGCTGAGACAAATAGGAATTAGTAACTGAACTAGTAGGGCATTGCTTTCAGTTCATTAGTAAGAAGTACTGGTTTTGGTTCTTTTCTTAATCTCTCACGTGTTTTCTTCCTGGATCTTCGTTCTCTATTAGGAAATGGTATTTACAATCTGAGCTGACAGTACATTTCATGAATTACATCTGTGACTGAGTACCAGTCATTTGTTTGAAAGAATTCAAATGTCACAAGGTGTTGATTTCAGCTTTAGAAAGCTTTGGTTTTGCTTAAGACTTGTATGCTGTAGTACTTCTGCTAATATTGCTGTCATTCCCTGGGACCTAAATTTGAAACAAACCCATGAGGTTCTCAGGGGTAAGAACTTAGAGGTATTTGTGTAAGTATTTCATTTCCACTTGAGTCCAGGACTTTTAAGTCAATTTGGGGTAAAAATAGAGGATTTTAGAGAAAACAATGTCTCCTTTAAGATTAGCAGGCTTCTCTTAATACAAAGAAATCAAACTGGTCAAAAAGCTCCTTTTCTCTCAGGGAACTCCTTGTAAGGAGCCAAGAATTATCTGGAGCTGAAGGAAAGCAATGAACACAAATCTAACCTAGGAGACTGATAAGTGAAAGGAATCCTACAGATTCTTTTTTTTTTTTTTTTGCTTTCATTTCTTTCCTGTCCCATGTGAATAATCCTGTCATCATTCCTCCCTTCCCTAGCTTGACAGGGTATTTCTGTGGGGTTTCTGAGGCTTTGGGTATAATTTTTAAAATTTTAAGTCAACTTTTTTTCCTTTGGGGAAGATTATTACTAATCTTTCTTTTTAATACATGGTTTAACAATGTTAAATGAGTGTCTACTCACCAGAACAGGAAGTATCAATGACAGGTAACCACCAGAGAAAATGGCAAAGAAGACGGTGTAGGTCATCAGTAGTGGAAATGTGGTGGCTAACGGAGCAAGCAGGTTAGTGATGCCACAGAGGATGAGGTAAGACTTGTGGTAATGGTACTTTTTGATCCAGTTTTGGTCAGCAACCCATCCAGATATAATTTGACTGACTGTCTCGATGATACCTAGAACAATATTGAAAGGCTTTAGGAAATTGTAATTCTGTTTTCCTAGCCCGTTTGAAGAAATGTGAGCATAGTAAGGCATCTTTTTCTCAGTAATATGATTTCATCCTGAGGTAAAAGCTGTGTGAGAAAAAGTTTTCACTCAGCTCTATCATTTACCCGTTTATTCCAAAGACTCCCCCAGAGCAGGGTAAAACACCCATCTGAAGTTTTTATGATTGTGTTTGGTTGAGTTTATACCATCAAACTGGGAGCCCTGGTGACAGACAGAGGACTCTAGATTCAAAACTCAGAGGTCTTCCTTGAAGAGGTTCTACAAGTGAGGAGGTGAGACTTCTAAAAAGACTTGATCCTCAGGTCAGTGTCAAGTTGGAAGATTATAGTATTTAAAAAAAAAGTCTTACGTAAAAAGCTACAGATATTGAAACTGACAGTTTTGATAATTAAGTCCTCCTCCAAAGGTGATTATGCTTAACTTGAAAATAAGGAAGTATGAAATGGGAAATCATAGTTGAATGTTGGTGCTAAAGTATAATTCGAATAAAATTTAAGAACCACATTTTTCATTCAGTTTCATGATAGCATTCTTATCCTTTATCCTAGTATAAGCTAATAATGCAGCAGTTAAGTACTAAATGAGATTTTTCACCAAGAGTAGTATGAGCTGCAGTTTTGTACTTTAAATTTTTGTGGTTCAAACATAAATTGTTCTACCCCCCAAAAAGGATGGGTTCAAAAAGTCATACTATCATTCATTTCTATGTCTTTTCAGTTAACTTTTAAAATGCGTATTGAGACCTTGGTCCCAGTAAACTATTTTCAGGAAATTAGCAGGCAAAAAGCTAATGTTGACTTACTGAGTATTTTCAGATAGTTTTGCTACTAGTACCATTTTATCCCTTTTCGTACTTGTAGACTGCATATTTTGTCACTTTATGTTCTGCATCATTTGTTCTTCTGATTTCATAAATGTTCATATTTTTCTTACTAATAATTCAAGGGGGAAATACTTTACAAATATTAACAAAACATTATTGGATGCTTAGGAGAGGTCACATACTCTCCTGACATTACTTTTTAATACTGACAATCTTATTCATGTAGGTACTGTTATTTCATATTACAGATGAGGACATGGAAGCACAGAGAAGGCAGGTGACTTCCCTAGGGTCACACAGATAGGAAATACAGAGCAAACTTGAACCCAAGGAAGTCTACCTCTAAAACCAATCCTTTCAACTACTAGAGATGCTGTCTAGAATTTTTCTATTATCTTGATGTGGTGGTTGGCCACTAAGCATCAGCTTTTAAATCCAGTATTTATCCAACGGATACTTAATGTGTACTGTGTCAGACAGATTGCCGTATGCAAATGAATACAACTTGGTTTGCATCCGCTGTCCTTGAGAACCTGTGTGCAGAGTCCAGTGACATATCTGCAATGCAGGCCTCTCTGAGTGAGAACCTGATGAACTTGAATTTCCTAGGGTTCCCACAGTTGTTTTTAAGAAATTGGGTTTTTTGTTTGTTTGTTTTTAGCTTTTTAAAATAACAATAAATCTTTGTAAAATTAAGGTCATTTTTCCTTTTGGATATGAGATTCTTACCAGCTACAGAAACAAGGTAGGAGGCTTTCATCACATCAATCCCGAGTGTCTTGGCTCTAGCGACCAGGTGAAAGGTAGGGATGAAATATGCAAACTGACTGAGGAGGAAAGACCAGGTAAATATGTAGAACAAAGGATTCTTAAAAAGAGAAGTATCAAAGACTTCTTGTTTACAGATCCATGAAGTGGCCTTTTTCTTGTGACTTTCTTCATTATTTTTTAGGAACAGTATTCTGTTCCTGTTAGGCTCATTGTTGAGTTCTCTACCTTGATCTTGTGAGACTGTTACACTTGTCCCTGACTGTCCAGCCTTCTGCACAGTGTTGTCTCTGATGTTGGACTCTACTGTCTCACCACAGTGGGATATTTCTACCCCACACACCGCCTCTGGAGCACTTGTAGACAGATGGCTACTTCTGTCTTTTGGGTCAGGATCGCTCTCACTTTTGATGTGGATGGGTCTTAAGAGCATACTGGATGGCACCAAATTCAGTGTGATAGCCCCAAACAATACAAGGGCACCTAAGTAGGAGAGAGAAATGGAAAAGTCATTTCATAACAGGTAGGTTCTTGGCTCAGAAGATGTCCTGCCACGAACTAGATAAAGTGAGGTAATTCCTAAAAACACTGTTCCGTTCTCTGAATTTAAGTCTGTTGACTTAATTGTTAGCTGTACATACTATGGGATCTGTGAAAAGAGTCCTTTGGAGATTGAAAACCAAGGAGCTGTGACAACAGATGGCATGGAAGGAGTGTTATTTGTGCTAAAGGAAAAAAGAAGGAAACCAGTTTTTTGGGGGGTGGATATTTCAAATGTTAGAAAATTATAGTATATTTTAAGTAGAGATTTAAATAACCTGACAGGATCTAGGTTTAGGTACATACAGCAAATATACAATTAGACGATGGGAATCATTTGGAAACTGTCTTAGAAGAGGAGAGAGACATTTTAAATTTCCTTGAAAGAAAACAGATGCCAGTCTTGCTTTGAAGTTGAGTAGCTGCTTGGTTTCAGCGTGTCCTGACCCATCTGTGATTGTGTATGGGTCTAGAAACAGAATTGACTGTAGGTTGTGCTCTCCTGTCCTATTCACCTTGAGTTTTTTTTTACTTGGGAAAGCAAAACTGCTATGTAGGTAGAAATAGGTATGTATAATCATACAACATGTATATATTTCCCCAGTAATATTAAAATTTCAATTCAAATGTTTCATGTCTGGTGTATACAAGTTGTGGTGTGAATGGTTTTAATTCACTGTCAAAAATTTATAGCTAGCAGTATGTATAAATTTCAACTATTAAGAAAATGTGATTCATTTTTCACCCAAGTATTCCCTCCGCACCCCACCCCCCATTTTAATCAGTCTGATGGAGAAGGCATTATTTAAGTTGGAAATTACTTCTGTTGATAAAGTTGAAAAAGAATGCTTTACTGGGGGAAAAGGGGAAGATAGGGAATACTTGCTTCTTAGGATTTCTCATTTCCCGGAAGGGGTTTCCCCAACTGCACCGAACACCCTGTGTCTCATACATTGAACCCCATGGTGAACTCTCAGTTGTTGGTGAGGGCTGGCACAGCCTGCAAGTTCAAGGTCTCTTCTATGTAAGTCTTAAGGAGGAGGAACATGTTTACTTTAGATATCATGTTCATTTCCTTCCTGACTATAAATGTCTGCTTTTCCAGTAATCAGTTTTAGAGCACTGAATATTTAACCTTGCAGAGATGTTATTTCATAAGTATAGGATGACTCACCTGTCCAGTTGTATAGATCTACCAGGAGTTTTGTAAAGGGTGCTAATAGAAATGTCAGTCCCATGCCTGAACGTGCAATAGCTGTAGAAAGAGCCAGTCGTTTTTTGAAGTATTTGGTAGTTACCACAGCAGCTACCTGGTACAAGAAAGCAGAACCCAAACCTAAAAAAAAAACAACAGATTGGAATCATATTCACGTTAAGTGACTTGATACCAGAGGATATATTCTCCCTATAACTAGGCCTTTTGGACCCATGGTCAGTTAAAAGGAAAGGTTCCTAGTTCAATTTTTCATAGCCTTGTTTTTACAGTGGACTCACCAGGTAAAAATCCCATAGTCACACAAAGAAAGGGAATGCTTGTAGCCCAGCTGCTGATCATGTATCCACCAGTAACAAGGAGGGCCCCAAGAATTGAGGTGGTTTTTTCTCCAATTGTGTCACAAATAATGGCGACCAGAGGGCCTTGGAGGAAAAAAAGAATGGTGAATACTATGTCAAAGTGCTCGGCACCCCTTGTCTTCTGATGTGCAATTTAAATGAGCAAAACTGGACTCTACTTCGGAGTATTGTGCAGCTTCAAAAAGTGAACTAGATTTCTTAATATTCCCATCCCATACTATTTTGCTTTGGGGAAGAGTTTTTATTTTTTAAGAAAGAACAGAAGATTGTGATCAGGTTTGGGGGAGGCACTTACTGAACATACATAATAAGATGAGATTGTATCTAGTGACCTGTGATTACACCGAGATTGTGTCATTAATTAGCTCCTCCACCATGTTATCGCTACAAGTAAAACTAGAGAAGAAAGAATTGGTCCTGTTTTGTCTTGAGCTCACTCACGTGATTAGAATAGAACTTCATGGTTTGACTTTCCAGAGAGGCTGACTCACTGAACAGATACTAAGACACTGTAGAAAGAAACGACAAATAATGTGTCGAGGTAGTAAATATTTGAAATCTTCAACTTCCCCTGAACCCTAATTTTTCTCATTTTACCAAGTCAGTTGGAAACTAAGTGATGCACTTTGTGTATTACATGAACCTGAGCTTTAGCGATAACTTTAGTCTTCAGTGAATGACAGATGAGTCGTCTTGGAATTAATTTCCCATTGTCACTGTGATCCTTCACTTTGGACAGCACTTACTGACTGTTTTATACCTGCAGAAAAACGAAGTGATGACATGATGGATCCAATCCAGCCAATTTGCACTGAGGTGCCATCAAACTCTTCTTGAAAAACCACAAAGAAAATTGCAAAAGTTTTGGTGAGCCCCATCACAATCACATTTACCTAAATCAAAGCAGACCAGAGTCCAGTCAGATAGTGAGTGAGCTGCAGTGGAGGAGGTTGTAGTTGCTTGAGGTTCTGAATCCCCCAGCTTACTAGTATGTGACAGTTTGCTTATACACTTTCTTTCTAATGGTTGGCACTTTGGAGTGTCTAGGCACTTCATAAGAAAATGTCTCATTTAATCTTCCTTCGAAGGCTATAGGATAGGTATTAGAGGTCAGGAAATTGAGGCTTAGACTAGAAGTTGCTGAAGGCAAGGCTGAGACTTGAGAAGTTTGCTCCAGACCCACTCTGACTCTGCCGCCCTCTTACAGTAGCATCTGTTGGAGACAGCTAACTCCAGTGACCTTTGTGAAAGACACATTTGTCCAAAATGTGAAGAATTACTCCTTCCAATTTTTAGGTTAGCTTTGCTTTAACTCTGCTGCTGATCTGTACTCGGCTCTTTTACTTGATGTATGAATAGGGAGAATGTGCAATTTGTCTATTGAAAAACTCCAAAAGCAAAAGGGGAAACGATTCATTCACGCCAGTCTGTAAGGGTGTAAAGATGTGTGGTCACCTTATGAATGAGTCGTGTGCCCCCTCCTTTTCTTCATCCCCACCTTTCCCTCCTTGCCTAGATAAACCTTCCCTTCCACTAGGAGAGGGATCCTATGGAAGTCACATTGTCTTTCTGGGGAGCCCTGGTGTTTGTTATTTGAGATTCTGATTGGCTTGGCACTGTGCCTCTCTTCCTCCTTTTTGCTTGCCAGCCAAACTTCTGCAGGGTTTGGAGGGAGAGCAGGAAGGGAAACCTAGCCAGAAGCTTGAGTCATTCAGAGCCCTGTCACCACATGTACTCAGACTGTCTCCAGGGGACTTGCTGGCTTCAGGGAGTTTTCCTTCCCCTTTTTCCCGTGCCCTTGGCTTTTCTAGGTGTCTCTCTACTTTCAGCTTGGCCATGCATTGTTGCCTAAGAGCCACAGAACCCTGGGTCCTCTTTCACTTACGCTGCTTTCCTTGTCCAACTGGTAAACATTTCCCCCGCGCCATCTCACATTATACCTGCCCTGTAGATAATTCACTCTCAAGGTTTTTGTTACCACCCACCTATGTACTCATGTATGTGTGTGTGAGTACTGTTCTGAGGTCAGCCTGTCCTGGCCAGATTTCTGGCTTATTACTAGGGTATAGCCTTGGCAAACTACTTTGCAGAAGTTACCACTTATTCTTTGGAAAAGAGGTAAATATTACTTAGATTACGGGAAGATCAGTTGAGAAGGTTTTAGTAAAGTTGTTAAAGCTTAGATGTAACAACTAATTCTTTTATCTTGTGTAAACGCTACTTTCTTAATGAGCTTCAGACTCCTTTATATGACTAATACATCTTTCTAGCTTCAGTCCGTTCATGCAAGCCTAAATAAGTTTTTCCTTTCTCTTCCTTTTCATTTCTCTTTGACTGGTATTGTCTACCTGCTGAATCAAAAACCTTCTTTCTTGGGCTTTTTCCCTCAGCCCTAAGTAATGAAGACCTCCCACCCCAACCCCATCACCAGGCTCTTCAGATTAGCACTCTGCTTTCTGTCTGAAGTAAGGGACTAAGGGTTAGCCGTGATGCGCTGAGGTTATAGAACTTGGGGGTGGTGAGGAGGTTCTCGCAATACATTTCCCATTCTGAGTTCATAGAAGATTAGCAACTTTTTGTTTACCCAGCATGAACAGCACTATGCCCACCATGGCTATATATTGGAAAGTGATAAAGAATTTATCAGAATCTCAAGTCAGGTAATTTGTAGCCATAACTTTCCCCAGGGTGTTTCCCTGGAAATGAGATGGGTGATACAAACAGATCTCATCCCAACTGTCCCTCACTTCAGGATTCACATAATTGTGAGTATATACTCTTCAGTAGCAGGGAACACTGAGATGAAGCAGCAGTCTGTCAACCGTGTTCTTTAAACACGGTTTACGTACTGATCATGATGCAGCTCTTGATGCTTTGAGTTACCTGAATTTTGTGATCTGCGGGCCCCTATTTCAGAGCCTTCCCTTCCCTTTCTGGTTTCTAACTGAAGTCTGGGCATAGCAGCAGTGAGTGAATATGTCTTGTGTCTAACAGCTGGGTCAGTGTCTTTCATTGTATATCCAGAAGGCCATGTACATAATTTTTTCATCTGTCCCATCTCCTCTCTTAATTTTAGTCTTAACAATTTTGTTTTGATTCTCAGATACTGAAATTGCTAAGGTCTGGATTTTCCCTAGTTACTTCAGTAGACTGGGTAAACTTGAGTTACCTGACTTCATCCATGCCTTGGATCAAGATCACTGGATTTCAGTCCCGTTCACATCAGACATTATAAATGGGCTTCCCCCAGAATAAAAGCCCTTAGAAATTCTGCCACTGATAAGACCCATTTCCCTTAGCTTCTCCTTTTTTTTTGCCTTTAGCTTCTCTTCACCTCACAACTATACCTCCCCTCTGCTCCCCACATACACACACCCCCACCAATAAAGAACTCTTGTACTAGACAGTTCTAATTAGAACATTTTCTTGGGAAAGGAGATTGGATCAGCCATAGGGGCCTTTTTGCACACGGAACAACAGACTGTTCGAGATTATTGTATGGTATAATTAACCACTTTTTTAAGAGAGCTTAAGTTCCTCTACAGTATAACCTAAGTTCTTCTTAACCTTCATAGGCAAATTAAAGAATAGTATGTTATTTCTACCTCTCATCTCAGGACTCTGTGGTACTGGCCCAGAAAGAGATTCCTTGTTCCTGAACTGTAGCAACCTTTCTGACCTATCTGACCTCAGCAGCATAGGCTGTACTTCCTCCTGAGCATTCCTGCCACAGCTTCTATGACACCATTTCTTGGTTGCTCCTTGCTTTTCTGGCTGCTCTTTTCCTCTGTGGATTATTTACAATGCGTAGACATTGGTTTTCCTCAGGGCTCTGTGCTTGTTCCTCTACCTGGTGATTTTACCTACCACGACAAATACATCTATGCCGATTACTCAAGTTTCAGTGTACGATCCTGAGCTCCAGGTGCATATGGCCCATACCGAACACACTGCCTGTGTCACAGGCCTCTCACACTTGATTCCAGAATTGAGCCGCTCACATTTCCTTCCTTTGTCCTTTGTCCTCCAACTCCGAGAACGGCATACTTTGTCTTTCCCATTGCCCAAGCCAACAACCTATGACTCCTTGACTCCCTCTTTCTGCATCGTTACCTCCAAGTCATAAGTCTGCCTTCTCCATATCACTGAGATCTGTATTTTCTCTCCACCCCTGTTGCTACTGCCTAAATTTTCTTACCTGTATTATTCTAACATCCCTCCAAAGCATCTTCCTCCTCCGAGTCTTTTCTGCTACCAACCAGTTGGCCACTTCACAGGCCAACTACTTTCCTGAAATACAAATTTCTCCCATAACCCCTGCATAAATTTCCTCTTTAGTTTCTTTTAGGCTCAAGGTAAAAACCAGTATTCTTAATATATCCTACAAAGTCCCTGCCCACCTCCCCAGGCTCATTATCTATCACCTTATTAGTTTATTCCTAAGTGTATCCATTAATCATGTTTATCCTTACATCTGCCAGCAGGTATTTATCGAGTCCCTTCTATATTAAAGTAGTGAGCAAATAGACATGTTCCCTAATCTCATGAAACACTCAGTGAGACTGAATAAAAAAAGCAGTGTTTAAATATATTGTTATAAATCGTGGTAAGTTAGATAGAATTAATTTTTTTTAAAGTAGGGAATCTTCCAAAGACCATTGAGTTCCTTGATCTCACCTTTTCGGGTTCAGGAGCTAAATCCATTATGGGAAAGTGTGCTTACTTAACTCATGCAGAAACAAAAGCATAGTCATCTAAATACCTGCATTACAGCTGTGGCAACTAGTCCCTCAGTGCATTTTTTTGTGCCTTTGTTAAAGGCACAAGAGGTAGCATGGAACCTCAAAGTGGGATGTGGTTTATTAATCCGGTTATAAGACAGTTTTCCTTATCAGCAACAATATTGGTCAAATCTCTTCCTATCCCTTGGAGGATAAATTAGGAACAGTAAGGGTTGGTTCCAGGGGGAAAAGGTGGGAAAGCCAGAGAGCTTCTTACCAGCTCAGCACATCCTATGGCTTGGGGAGATGGGACCCACCTTTAGGAAGGGCTTTTATCAATAGTAACTTTGCTAGAGGAAGAAGAGTCCATATTTGGTAGTGAAGCTAAAGTTTAACAGATAGTCCTTTAGTTGGTTTTGCATTACATAAATCCTGGCTCAGGACCTTTGCCCCTTTATCACGAGAGGGGAGACATGGTGCAGTCCCATCATCCTATTTATAAAGAACTTAGTTATCACACTAGACTGTAGGGACATTGGTAGTCACCAGGACCTGCCATTCCTACCCAGTGAGCTGCTTAGAGATGAGCAGGGGGTGAGTTAGGAGGGACAGGGTATCTCTCTCAGTATATCTTAGTTAACAACTCACTTAGGGGGATCTCCCTGGAGGCCTAGGAGTTAAGTCTCTGTGCTATCACCACTACATCCTGTTTTCAATCCCCAGCCAGGTGCTATGTGGTGCTAACCCACCACATAGGGTGCAACAGACCTCCTGTCTGCCCTCCACTCTGTATCATATCCTCTAACTCCCCTCCCCGCCCACCTTTGGCCTACAACCCAGTTCTATGCAAACAGAAAACAAACACACAAAAAAATTTGGGAATGTTAAGGAGGAGTTGTGGACTGGGCCTTTCTGTGGTCTTGTTTGGGGCATAGGTGTGGTGTGGGATTCACCAACATTCCACAATAACTGCTAGTGATTCAGACTCAATGTAGGATCCCAAGACTTTTCTGGGTAAGAAAAAGAATTTGAAAATGGGCTCCCTAGTCTAGTTGCTTATGGCTGAATGAGAAGAATTAGATTCCAAGTTCAGAAGCCACATCCTCTTTTTCCACACAGAAATGAGTCTAGTTCTAGTATCAGCTACAGGTGATGAGGTCTGTGGGAAGATTTGCCAGCAGAATAGAGAGGCAATACCTTCATGTCAAAAGAGCACTGGTTGCCATTGTTCATATATGCCAGGCTGGACTGAGTAACTCCCCCCCCCCGCCCCCTTCCGTCACTTAGTAATGCTACATGTTACTCTGGTAGTCACGTGTGTGATTGGCCTGTCTGGTAACTGGTGTCTGGAGCATCTATAGGGTTGACGGATGGTAGAGTGGAGAGGAGACTGAATGAGAATGTTGCTGCATTCATTCAAGGGGGATATTTTCAGTTCCTCCTAGATTCAATGTGGGCACTCAGCTTGGCAGTTATTGGCAGTTCGGGGCCTTGCTCTCCCCACCTTCCCATTTGAATGCCAGACATTTCATAAGTGACCTTGCTAGACTGTTCCAGTTTCTCCAGAAAACCTTTCAGGTAGGAAAAGGGGAAGTAACTTCTTACCAGGAAGAAATGCAGCACGATCATCCATCCCCACCCTCCATCTGGGGTTTTCTTGCAGTTTGGGCCTCCCTGTCTCTCTGCATGGTACTTCATCTGTTTTAAATGCAGAAAATTCCAGTGAGAAATCCAAGATAAAATTGATCATTCGACTGATAAACTTTTAAACTGTCTTACTCTGTGGTATATACAACTGCTTGCATTGTGATTCTTTTAAGCCCACCCCTTTAACAATAGGTGATTTCCGGGATCTCCCTGGTGGTGCAGGGGTTAAAGCACCGCACCATGAAGCTCTCAGAAGTTACTGCAGTAGGAGTTCAATCTCCAGCCACAGAATTGACCCACATGGTGTGGTAGACTTCTCCTGACCTGCCCACTGCTCCCCTCAGCAGTTTATTTCAATAGATCTGCCTGTTCTGTTCCCTGCTCTGTCTCTGGTGAATCCTCTCACCTGCACACCTCTGGCCTGTAGCCCAGTTTTGTAAGCATAAATAAATATTTTTTAAAAGGTGATTTCCCCGTCTCCAACTTCCTTTCCAATTAACTAAACAAATAGGAGGTTGGGGAAACAGCTCTCTCGTTTCTTAAAGTTATTTATGGACTCTAGATCTCAGCTTCAAAAGTGCAAGCAGGGCTTTATACTATCTTCAGGGATTTTTTTGAAGTGTTCTCTCTGGTTTCAGGTGACAAGATCATGTGGCTTTAACAGTTCCCTTAGAGTATGTCCTTGATTATAAATGAAGGGTAACTGACAATAATGTCCCCTTAGCTCTGCTTATTTCCACAACCATGATCAAGGTAGAACCATGGAGTAGACGAGGAAAAAAAGTACATAGTAAAAGTACTATGAATCAAGGACAGCAAAAAACTACCACAAAACACTTTTTTTCACCAGCTTGAATGATACCTGAAAGATACCCACTTGATATAGTTTATTTCAGGCAAGAATTGCCGAACCTTACTGGTTGAGGGGCTTCCTCCCCCGTAGTCCTCAAGTAAAAGGATAATCTGGGTCGTTTGTCCCTCCTCCCCTCCCCCCCCCACCGGCCTCTAGGAGAGTTTTTGACTTTAGAGAAATAAATAAGGGCTTAGGTATTCCTTTACAAAGCACTTCCTAAGATAGAAATGTTTTAAGGGACAAAATGGACAACAAAGGAGTGGGTAACCCAAGCGGGTTCTGGATCGAAAGAAACGTAAAGGACAGTTGGGGGACAGCCAGGGAAGCTGGCCGTGGACAGGCTAGTGGACGAGATGGAATCTCAGCTCTGATGGCCATCTCATGGTTCTGCAGAGGGTGTTCGCGTTTGTTCGCGTTCTTTCGCATTCTGTGCTCACAGTATTTGTATCAAGGGTCTGCTACCTTTTCATAGATTATTCAGCAAAAATAGTATAAAATATGCACATACAAGAGAAGCAGTTAAAAGTAACAAAGGCGACTTAAGAGCAGAGGCAAACGGTATTTTTCATTTCCCAGGGTGAAATGAGATCAGGGTGGCCAGAGAGATTTTTTTCCTGCTGGAAAAGAGACTCCGCCAGTTGGGCATGTGGAATAGCCTTCTGGAGAGCAGGCAGGGCAAGAAGAGGAGAGAAGCCAGTCATTCAAAACTAACCCCACCACAAATCCCATTTTTGTCTTACCTTTGATGTGTTCAACACAGGAATTCTCCACAAATGAAGTCATCTAGAAAGAAATATAACTTACAATTTTCTGTTACTGTTTTTCTAAGTTTCACTCTGTTGCATGGTGAAAACAAGTGAGCATTGTAAGAGCCAAGGAAGTTAGAGCCAATGTAGGCTGTCCTACCCGTGGACTTTACTTCCTGAGGGGAGGAGGAAAGACTGTGATTTGATGTCATCCTAGGCCCCCTCCTGCCCACCCTGGCTCAAAGTAGTAGTTTTCACCAGAGGCTCAAACAAGCAAGCTTTAGAGTAAACCAAGGAGAAAATCCTCTGGTAACTTGTTAAACAACCAGGAGGCTGTTACATGGCTGTGGCTCTTGACAGCCTGTGGAAGCAAACTGAAACCTAAGCCTGTAAGAGCCTTATGGTTAGAAAATTGAAAGCTGAGGGCAACCAGACTTTTAGGTGCAGCCAGTCACTTCCTTGCCTTGCTCCCACATTTTCCTAAAGTAAAAACCAAAAGTTTTCTGTCATAGTGGAGCACTCCTAAGTACATCCAGTTTGGCAGTGCCCGATTTGAATGAAATTTCCCCCTCAGATTCCTAATTTTAATATGCCTCTGTTTATCTTTGAGCAGCTCTGGTGGTAGAAGAGGGAATACCTGAAGAAGACCTCCCTCCCACTCTCACTTGTCCCCAGGAGCAGTGAGCAACCGGTCTGAGCTACCCCGGGCCCTCCATGCTTTCTCACCGCCCCTGGGGCGCTTGGCTAATTCCTTGCTCCCAGCTCCACAGCTCCTGTGTTAGGAGCTCTCGAGACTCGTTGAGTGTTTTCTTTCTGGACAAACTCCAGAAACCCTCCAGGGTCAGACTCTCCAGCTTAAAAAGTGAGCTGGGGTGTAATTGGTTACAGTGTGAGACCTTAGGTTAAAAAAGAATGTTTTAAGACTGAATAAGTAGATCAATTTTACCAAAGATAATCTTGAGTTTTGTTAGCCAAATAGGGAACTTACCCCAATTTATCCATTTTCAAGGTTCCCTAGAGGGAAAAAAAAAAGGGTAGAAGGGAAGTTATTTCTCCCCCTTCTCCCCCACTGGTTTCTGGTGAGATCCACTGATATACCTCACTCATAGCACAGCCTGTGAAGGGTTCTGGGGAAAATTGGCAGAAGCTACAAAGTTAAGATTTTTTACCAGTTCAGCTCTCTGTGATCTCTAGTTGTGGTGCCTAAAGATAAAACTACTCATTGTCTCTTTCTAGGTTCTGATTGGCAGGGTAGTAAAACACATTTGTAGGAGCTAGGTTTCTGGAGTGTGGCGGGTGGATTTGTTCTTGGCTACCCAGTAGTTGTAGATCTCTTCTCTCCCAAAAACAGCTATTGCTTTCTTGGTTGTATCATTTTGTGTCCTGAGAACTTGCTTGGCTTTTTGCCTGTCAGGGTGCACAGTTTTTACATGTGTGGGCAGCTCAGCTGTTTGGGAGACCCCCAGTTACTGCTGGGAAGGAAAAGTGAGTTGTTGATGTTATAAAGGTGCTTATTCTTGATGGGGGGGGGGGGGGATCTAGTTCTGCATTGTCCAGACCTAAATGTATGCTGATGGCTGTGTTTGCATAGAAGGCCAAGTAGGACTTAATCTCTTGCTTTGTAAAGAGTGTGCTAGAGAGATGCAAAGGGTAGAGTTAGTCCATTGTTAAATGTTTATTTGGCATTGGGCACAGTAGAAATGAAGAAACTGATTTTATCCCCAGGCTTCCTATTTTGCATAACTGTTCAGCCCTCCAGCCTGTGTGGAAAGCTTTACTCTTGTCTGCCAGAGCAGGGAGGAAGATCTTTCTGACAGCAAATAAGGGTAGGAGAAAATTGTTAGTTTGGAGAGTCACAGTCAGTTGCAGAAACAAAAATATTTAGGACCTTGTCCTGATTACAGGTACAGAAAATATTCTCAATCGTTGAAGACTGGAACCTGATATCCACAAGATTGTGTTAGCTTTGAACTAGGCATTATTTTTCTCTGCAGTCACCTTCATTTCTACCAAAGATAATCACAGTAAAACTAATCTGTTTGCAAACTAAGTCTAGTTTCACTAAGCTAGATCTGAACAACTGACCATTCTTTATAAATCTGCTTTGCTGGATATTCTCAGAAGGAGTCTTAAATTTTAGCTAAAAATTACCTTCATGAAGTGTGCATTTCAGAGCTGACTCTAGATGCCTGTGTCTAGTAGAATCAGATAAAGTCCACAGAGAAAAAGGACCTAAGTCCCCTCACGAAGGTCTCTTTACTGTGTCCTTTACTGTGGCCTTCTGACATGAATGGGGGTTTGAGATTGGTATAGGAGCAGTAGGCATTGAGCTACATTTCTGTTCTAATGACTTGCAAGACAAGTGTAGTTGTTTTTAAATCCTCAACAGTTGCAACCTGATTATCAGGAGATCAGTTCACCCAGCCAAACGCATTGTCTTCAACTTGCTTCTTTAGATTTAGATTTCCAACCAAACTATAGAAGTCAAGAGACTCCTACATTTTAGATTTAGAGGTAGGTGTCTTTGTGACATAATTGGTAAATCCTTTGGCAGTGACTTCAGAATGTTTTCTTCTTGCTGTCTGGGTACACAGTTTAGGGGAGAAGTTTAAAAAAAAAAAAAAGTTCCTGTATAGGCCCTGAATATCAACTTCCACCTTCGCCCCTCTGATGATAGAGTTGTGACAGGCCCGGACCCAAGAGTGAGTTCTTGCTCTCTAGAGAAAGAATTCACAAAAGCGTGAGGTGCACAGACATATGGGTTATATTCCAACTGCGACATGCCAGCTCCCGGCCTTCTCCCTCCAGGAAACTGTATAGTTTTCATTAGTTAGTTAGGCTCTGGTGCTTTTTGTTTAGTATGGTGCCTTATGGTCAGTGTGGTAGGCCAAAGTGTTTGTGTAACACAGGCATAGCCTTAAAAGGGGTGGGTCCATGTACCTGGTGCCACCTCTTGAGGGGCAGTTCTGAGCAGCTAGGTGAAGCTATATGGCACTAAAGCAGGTTAACTCTTGAGAGCTGGAGAGCTAACGTTAAAGTTAATTGGGATGATTCCTTTCAAAAGCAGACAGCAGCTTGAGGTGGAGAGATCTTTCAAGGTCATGTCTTCACCTCTAATCAGCTTTAATCCTTTTGCCTTTTTATTACATTTTTCTCTTCGTTAATGCACAGGAAAATGATTCTCCTCAACTCTGACTCCTGTTGCTTAGTCTACTGCTATAAGACCTTAGCTACATGATAGAATTCTCCAGTCTTTTAACGAGGTGGATTTTAGGTTATAGTTTCTAGTTAGTGGAATTTTCAATTACAGTGAGAATGATTTCAGTAGAGTCCCCATTCAGCAACACATGGCACTTTTATTACGGAAAAAGACATTTGCATTGACACAAACAGACGGAGGCTGCATTTTAAAAGGACAGTTTTATTAAGAAAGAAGAGATACCTGCATAGACACCAGCAGGCAGTCTTACGGCAAGATCTGTTTCTCCAGAGTAAGAGGTGTTCTCATGTATTGCTTTTTGATGGAATTACTTTGGGTGGGTTGCGTGGGTTGGTTTTATATAAGAGATAATCTCCTCTGACCCTACCTCTGCCTGATAATCCTTTCTGCCCTTACTTCTGAATTTTGATCGTGTGAAAACTTGCATACTACATTTTTTTT